ATAGTTTTTAGTAAAGTTGTTATTGAATCCTAGTAAAAATAAAGAGTAAGAATTGATCAGAAATTGTTTCTGATAAATGCCTATAAATAGAGGATCAAACAGAAACATAAAGGAAAATCAGAGAGGAATCAAAGAAAAACTCAGAGAGGGATCAGAGAGAAAATACACAGAGAGGAAACAGAAGCTAAAAAAGGTTTTGATGCGTTAGAAACAGCTTTAGGAATTTGTGAAAAAATTTTTAGAATCCGACGAAATTTTTCGATGAGATTTAAGTTTTCTAGCGAGATTTTCGGTCAACTTCGAACTTTTCGACAAGTTACCCAGTTTTCGGTATAACTTTTCAGAAATCGATCAACTTTTCGGTGAGAAACCCAGATTCTGGTAAGAATTTTCAGAAAATAGTTAAAGCTCAACCGGTGTTCTTGGGATCGAGTAGAGAGAAGGAAGAGAAAAAAAAAAGAAGAGAAAAAAGGAAAAAGGTGCATCCGCTGAAAAGCTAAGCTATTTGCCTTTTATATGTGCACAAAACGATGTCGTTTTGGCCCTAAATAGAGCCCAGGATCTGCGTGTTTTCATTTGGGCTACCCGATTCGTTGCACTGACCTGCTTCAAGAATCCTGCTGTTAAGCCAAGCCGATTTCCAGTCGAGCCAATCTTAGCCTTGGTTACTATCTTAAGCCGAGCCAATCTTAGCCGTAACCCTAGCTATTTTCATTTATTTATTTATTTATTTTAAATTATATTTTTAATTTATGTGTTTTTTTTTTATTTTAGGAGTATTTTTTACATGATTTAATTTAATAAAATAATAAAAAAATTTTGGGGATAAATATTAATTATCCAATGATAAAATTTATAAAAATTTTAAATGGTAAATTTTAATAAAATTCATAGGTGAAAATTTGTCTAAATTTATCTCAATTTGTGAAATAATATAGATAAAATTTCAATAACAAATAATTAATATTTATTTTCAAGCCAAAAAAATTAAAAACATAAAAAGCATAAATATATAAAACTTTTCGAAATTAAATACAAATTACCCAATGATGGATTCTTAAAATTTTAAATGGTAAATTTTTAAGAAATCTCTAGGTGAAAATTTTCTCTAAATTTGACCTAAATGGTGGAATGATTTAGATGAAATTTCAATACAAGTAATTGTATTCTTTTCCAAATAAACATTTGGATTGAAAATATTTGATAATTATCTAAGGATGAGATTCTTAGAAATTTCAAATGGTAAATTTTTAAAAAAATCTTTTGGTGAGAAATTTCTCTAAATGACCTAAATTGTGGAATAATTTAGATGAGATTTCAATAAAAATAATTGTCATATTTTTTCTTTCTAAGGAAAAAAAAGAAAAAAGAATTTTTAAATAAACCCAAATGGTGAAAATTTTAGAAATTCAAAAGAGAAAATATTTCTAATTTGGCCTAAATGGTGGAATAATTAGATTCATTTTCAACAAATAAAAATGATAATAATAAAAATGATAAATAAATCTTTTTTCGACGACGGAGCCTCTTCAAGAAATCAAATGGGATTCTTGAATACTCTTAAGGGGAGGAAGTATTTTTTAAAGAGTTTTACCAGATTTATGGAGAATCTTAAAAGTTGTTTTCAATATTTAACTTAAAATTTGAAACCATTAGACTCTAAACCTTAGGATAAATTTGAAATAATATGGTACCATCCTTTGGATGGGCATGTGGGGGTGCTATAACCTTTTTCACATGTAACCGAACTCTCAAACTCTGTTCTAGTTAGTAGACCTGAACCTATTCTTTTGGGGACCCTTAGTCAAGCTTAGGAGTTCCTTAAAATGATAGATTCTTCAGGTGGTCAATCATACCTAGTAAAAATGATTGGTGGCGACTCCATTCATTTGTTAAATCTAGCTATAGATTTTCGGATCTATTTATTATGACATGGTATAAAAGTCATTAATGAAAAACACTGGTTATACCAAATATCAAATGAAAATTTTAGTGATGAAGCACTAAAATTATGGTCTAGAAAACCTAGATATCGTAGTTAACAAATTACAGATCTTACAAAAATTATTAAAGTAAAACACATGATCTATGCTAAACAAGATATAGATGAATTTGATGTGAAAATTAAAGAATTATTAGATAAATGATTAATAGAAGAAACTACTAGTCCTCATTCTAGTGCCAACATTTTTGCTAAGAAACCATGTAGAACAAAAAAGAAAAGAAAAAAAGGAAAAGCTTGTATGGTAATAAACTATAAAAGATTAAATCAAAATTTAGTCTTTGATGGTTATTTTATACCAAGAAATGATTGTACTTATTAATTTAGTAAAACGTATTAATATTATAGCAAATTCGATTGTAAATCAGGTTTTTGGCAAATCATACTTGTAGATGCATCAAAACCTTTGATTGCATTAGCTCCAAAAGGACACTATAAGTGGAATATTATGCCATTTGGATTATGTAATGTTTCACAAATATTTAAAAGATGGATGAACTCTATTTTTGAAAAATATAAAGATTTTTGTGTTGTGTATATTAATGATATTTTAATTTTTTCTTAATCATTAAATGAGCACAAGAAACACCTAAATTTAATCGCCCAAGAATTTATAAAAAATGGTATTATTTTAAGTCTTAAAAAGATAGAGCTTGAAAAAACGAAAATCAAATTCTTAAGATTAAACCTATCTTCTAAAGGAATCAAATTACAAGATGATATTATAGTAAAATAAAGGAATTCCTTAAAAAGCTAGAAGATAAAAGGCAACTTCAATGCTTTTTACGAATTCTTAGCTATGATTGGCAATTTATAAAGAATCTTTCTAAAAAAGAAAGGGTTTTATTAAAAAAAGCTTAAAAAAGATATTCCATTTGAATGGACAGAAAAAAGATTCTGCTATTATTAAAGAAACAGAAGAAAAAACTAAAAGAAGTTCCTAAGGTTTATCTTCCTAAACCAGGAAACCAATTAATACTAGAAATTGTTGCCTCTAAAGAGCATTGAGAGATGTGTTTTAAAAATCAAAACACATAAAAATGAATTAATATGTGGATATAATTAAGGAAAATGTAAACAAAATGAAATAAATTATATTACGTTTGAAAATGAATTACTTGCTATAAAAAACGGGGTAAGTAGATTTCATATTTATTTAATGTCTGAACAATTTATTATTAGAACTAAGAATTAGATTGTAAAAAAAATTTTAAAAATAAAAGGCTTAAACTAATCCAAAAAGGATTAGAAAGTACAATTTTTTATGCCAATATAATTTTTCTATTGAATATATAAAATGTGCTAATAATGTTATTGTTGACATTCTTAGCAGACCACACGGGAGATCGAGGTAAAAACCTCTTGAACAAGTGGGACATTGGGTTACAAATAAGCAACCTAAACAAGGATTTTCATTTCTTTCCATACAAATCTTAGAAATCCTAATCAAGGAATAAGGGTTCAAACTCCAATACCAACAGTTCAATATCCTAATCCAGGATATTATTTTTATCCCTCTATTCCACCACAAGCAGTGATAGAACCATATTAATTTTCTCAATGGTCTTAGGATCCAAAAAATTTTCTACAATCTCTTATTCAGAGATTATTAAAAGAACAGAATCATTGTTGAAACCATGATAATCACAACAATCAGATTTGCTAAAAGATTTTTATAATTCAAGATTATCAGAAGTATTACTCTTCGAAAGTGAGATGAGCAAGAGTAGTTCATTCACTTTTAATTAAATTATAAAAAAAATTTTATTTGAAAATGCTTAAAAGGTCTTACCACCAGAAAAGTTTTTCAAATATTTTCAATACTATTCATTTGAAAAGTGAATTGATTTTCAAAGAAAATTTAGAATAATACTTTTCACAAGTCTATCTCCATGATATAGGGTTTTCAAAAGGAGTACCTAAGTGAAAGTTTAGACTTAATTATGAACCTTTTGATATAATCAATATTGAAATGGGTTTTGTAGGAGAAATAATTGTACAAAATCTTTTTTTTAATTTATTAAAAAAAATTTTGGCTTTTATCAAATTCAAAATATTTGATTTAGTATAAAATGATAATTTTTACATGTATATTCATATAACCATTATCAGTTTAATTGGAATTTTTTAACAAAAAGATTTTATCAAACCTTATCAGATCAGGATGTAACCAAATTTTTGGGAGGACCAAACCTGCTACTAGCAAATGAAAAAGTTAAAGAACTAAAAATTTGCTTAGAAAATTTTTCAGCATTTGAATTTAGACTGTTGGAATAGGTTTATTAGAAATAGCCAAAGATGTTTTAGCTGGAGCTCCAACCAGTATAATTCATATTGACGAAAAAAGAATATCTGTATGAAATTTTTATAATATAGTCCAAGCATGCTTGACAATTAGACCCTCAAGCTATTGAACTTTTAGAGAAATTTAAGATCTTGATTATCCAAAAAAACCTCCTTATTCAATATCAAGAAGAATGGGAATAATGGAATAAGAAATCTACCACCTCTCCTGTTTCTTTCAACCTGAAGATAAAGAAGTAATAAATTTGGACAATATCCAAGAAATATAGGAAGTTTCATAGCTATCAAGCCATGACGTAAGCAATGATGAAACAACTAAAAGACCATCTCTAAAAATACAGCTCTTAAGAATATAAAATAAAAGACCATAAAATTTCTCTCTTATTTTCAACAAATGGATCAGAATTTGCAGACACCCAACCAGAGATAGAGTTAAACTTTTTTTTCTTGCCTTATAAATAGAAGATCGGAAGGTAGTGGAAATCATCTTCTTTTCCTTCTTCACTCATTACTCTGCAACTTTTACTTGGTATTAGAGCATCCAGTAGTTAAGATTCATTATCGATCTTTGCTTATGCACTAAATAGGGACTAATTTTTGTCTCTATGGGCTTCCTTGAAGTTTGTCTATTTATTGCTCTGGATAATTATGTTGAAACCTACAAACTTTACATTAAGACCACACATATAATCAGGCTTCCTGTGCACTGGGACTAGACTGTCATTGTTTTATTAAATGAGGTGCGTGTGAGCAGTCCATATCTCCCCGAGCCTGTGATGGAGGAACTCCTCCAGCCAATGAACGGGTGAAGAAAGTGGTAAGACACTCAAAGGGATCTGGCATATCTTTTTGTAGGTAAAATGATTAGCATATCATTTATTTATGTTAATTTTCTTTTTCAGTTGGATTTTGAAAGGAAGAATGCAAATTCGTGCTATAGTCCATGATGATCTCACATTTGTGTTGTCCAAAGGTTGGAAAAACCAAAAAGGTGCTATGATTGGTATATCGTGGTAGTTATCTGACCTCACATTTTCTTAGTTTATTGAAAGAATTTAAACAAATCGTGATACTGAATTGTTAATTCTAATATCATGCTACCTCTACCTTTTAGTTGGAATTACTAAATCTGAAGTCTATAACCTTAATTTGTGCCTCATTAGCATTTTCCAATAAGGCAGCCACATATTGAAATATGACAAAGGATAAGCTGTGGAAAATTTGCCACACGCTGCTATTGTTTTACTGTTAAGAATATTCGCCCTTGAAATGGTTAATTTCACATTGTTCAAGCTTTCCGCGTTGTTGCTAATTTCAACTCCATACTGATTGATCATTTTATCTCTTTTTCTCCCCTTACACTTTGAGAATGTTTTGGGTGGAGGTCTCCAAAAATATAATTGATTACTGTGTATGAGATCAGGAGGAATAATATATGAATGAATGCTATAGGAAGGAATATGATGGAATTGGTATGGCGAAAGGAGATAAAAGTGAATGGTATAAGGAATGAGAATCAAATGTTGCTGATGGGGTATCGCTTATAATTAGTGGTAGTATTCTGCAAATTTCTATTGGCATGCAGAGTTCTCCATGTTATGCCCAAGAGTTCATGGTTTTTCGTCTTCTGGTTACAAATTCATTTGCTATGAATACTTAGTAATGAATAAGAAGCACCTCTTTCTTCTGGTAATCCTGACTGCTGCTAATACATATTTTGTATTGGAGGAGCATACACTGACGCATCTTGGTTACCTGCATACCAGCAAGGTCTAACCATTAAAAAAATAATGATAATATTTTCAGCAAGTTACATCCTCGAACCCAAAGGCCACGCCTTTCCCCAAGAATTTCTCTGCTTAAAGGAAAGCTAATCGTATGGGCATCTTTGGCCCAATGGACCATCTCTCAACCAACAGCTAGACCTTCCGGAACCCTACAGATTCTTGCGTTTTAACAACTCACAGTATTTTCCCCCAACAGCTGTGTTATTGGATTAGGCGTATTAATGGTCAATATTTGATGTTTTAGTATTCCACTTGCCTCATCTTCTCACCAACATTATTTGCATATATATAGCCATATTCTGGTAAGAACAAAACGTATAGTAATTGCAATCAAAGCTTAAAAACTAGGAGTTCAAATTCTAAGATGCCTAGCACCCGTCTTTACCAGTAGGACGGGTCTTTTCTGACAGGCTATTAATAACACAAGTGGGAGATGAGTGACAGAAAATTGTACCCCGCAATTCCCGGAACTGCTCATCAGGCCATCGACTGTGGATGACCACATGTTTTGGCTTAAATTTAAGCGTGAAAAGTGTTTCTCTTATAATAAAAAAATTAACTAGCCAGACGATTGCTGGATGAGCAGCTCTAGGAATTTAATTTTTTTTTTTTAATTTTTCATTATAAGAGCAATATTTTTTTTCGTTTTTTTAAAAATTATAATTGTTCACTTAGATCAGTCAATTGCTTCAAGAGAGTAGTCAGCCGCTACTTTATATTTTCTGTTTTAAGAAAATTACAAGAAAAAGGGTGGTCGATTCCACCTTTGACTTTTGGTTCAGAGGAATAAAGCAGTCGACTTTCTATCATTCCAAAAAGTATTCATGGTCAGGGCAGTCAACTTCCCTCTATAGCAGGGGATTGCCTTGAACCTTTTAATTATTCAGAAGACTCTTTATGTAATAGCAATCGACTTCCCGACTAGTATTACTATTCAATTGTGGCAACCGATCCTCCAACTTAAGCAATTGACTGCTTCTTTGTACATTTGAGTATCAAGATTTTGCTTAGTTACTGTATAAATAAAGTAGTTGACTACTTCATGATGGACTGCCCTCCTTCGCAGCCTAAAGCAGTTTAACTTCTTATGATATGGTAATCACCTGTTTTCTTGGACAGTCTTCTAACCTAAATTTTTTTTGTGTCTTTTAGACAATGAAATTCTTTCCTTAAGCTATTACTAAACTTAATATAATTCCTCTTATAATTAAATTTTTACTTAATGAAAATATTTATAAGACATTACGTGATCCAAGATCTAATGAATTGAGCCTACATTTCTAACAGAAAATTAGAAAATAAAAACAAATATAAATTACGTTAAGTTGAAAAGAAAATAAGTTGAAAATCCATCTTTATCCATAGAACATAAGCCCCTAATTCACGGCTGTGATAATGAAACTCTAGTCAAAATTATTGTCTGGGAAAATTCCATCTTTTCTAATAAAAACAAAATCCTCATTCAATTTCGAAATCGTTCATTGCATGCCAATATTAAAATGGCTAAGCTGCAATCGTACTTGGTTCTCTTCTTGTTGGCTTTTTCTTTATTGTCTTTCTCCCTACTACTTTATATACCAATGCTGAAAATATACAAAGAAATTAATAGTTGTTCGGACCTTTTCCATTTCAGCAAACTGAAAGTTTTTGAAATAATGGGATTTTACTTTAATCTATAAACACAAATATTTTATATTGCCTGGAACCAAGACAAATTGCTCATAGTCATAGGCAAGAATATGATTATAAACAAGTCATTATTTGGTGGCAAAAATCATGCTAAAACAATCTCATATGAACTATTACATATTAATGAAAAAGTTTCGAGTTAAAATTTCCTTTTCCAAGTTGTTAAGAAAGCAAATGTCTTTGCGAGGTAGGACCAGATTTATCTAGTTCCGGCCAACCATTATCTAAATTTGATGATACCTGTAAATGGTAATGTTCCATATTTAAGGCATTAAAATTGTTCTAACACTCTTTTGATGAGCTGGGTGACATGTTGTAACAAGTTTGATCAACATAAGTACCTTGGCCTAAATACTTTTAAAAATGTTAGTAGAAACTTTTTACTGTATTATAATTAGTGTTGAATTCGAAATTTAACTTAATTGATTCATATAGTCATCCGTAAAATGTGGTATTCGAATTTAAATCTTAGTATCTGCAATTTCTATTAGAGATTTTCAAAATAAAATATGAGAAATAATCTCACATTAAAAAAAATAAAGATAGATAATTAAATCTATTCAAAACAGACAAATAATTTATTCAAAATAAACAATTTAAACTATTTAAAAACAGAGAGTTTTTATCTATTCAAAATAGACAGTCATGTTTGTAGAAAAAGACACTTATTTGTCTTTCTTTTTCTTCGAACTCTAGATTTTTTTTATAAAAATTTTACTGCAGAAAACATTTATAGAAGTTTAGGAATCTTGTGATAAAAGCAATGATTGCTTAGTAGACTAATTTTATCAATGCAAAATGTAGCAGTCACTAGGTTTCGTTGTATCCTCAAGATTTATTGCCTACAACTCTTTTACACATCTACTAAGTAAATAATATGATGGGGGCAAATAAAACCTTAAGGAAAATGGCACCGTTACACATTTTAGAGCCTTTTTTTCAAAATTTTAGATTTATTAGAAGCAATAATTCTAGTGTTTTAGCGCTTGCTTTAACAATCTTAAGGTTTTATTTGGTTCAACAATGGCTACTAAAGCAACACTCAGAGAATTTGCTTCTAATTTTGTCAAATTGGATCATTTTGATGGTAGCAATTTTGAGATGGCAGAAGAAAATGCAATTTTTACTTTCAACCTTAAAGGTTGTATATGTTTTGACTACTTTCAGACCAAAAGAAAATAAAACAAAAGAATCTATTGCTATAACAAGAGAAAGGCAGAAATAGAATAATGCAGATTACATGTATAAATGCCATATTCTGAACGATCTGTCTGACAACCTATTTGATACATACCAAAACGAGGCTACTACAAAGGAGTTATGGGACAAATTGGAGACCAGGTATATAATCGATGATGCAACAAGTAAGAAATTTTTTGTTAGTCATTTCAATAATTATCGTATGATTAATGGACATTTATGATTGAATAACTGCGTGAAATTAAAAGAATGCTTAATCAATTTAAACAGTATAATATGAGTATGGATGAAACAATTATTGTGTTATTTATAATAGATAAACTTCCTCTATCATGAAAGGACTTTAAAAGAAGTTTAAAACATAAAAAAAGAAGAAATCACTCTTGAGGCTTTGGCTAATCATCTTTGAATTGAAGAGGACTACCAAAAGTAAAAACAGAATTTTGGTTTTGGAGATGCCAAAATTCATGTTTTGGAGAAAAGATAAACTACAAGCTTGACAAAAAGAAGTTCAAGTACAAACAGATTGCTAATAGGCCTAAATTCAAAAAAAATAAAAGAAAGACACATGTTACCATTGTGGTAAGCTAAGACATTTTAAGAAAGAATGTTGGTTGCTACAAGAGAAAAATTATTCCATAAAAGTGGATATTTCTAAAAAATTTGTTGCCATGATTTATGAAATCAACATACTTGAAAATAATAAATCTTGGTGGGTTGACTCTAAGGCAACAAAACATGTGTGCAAGGATAAAAGCATGTTCACAACACTCAAACTAGGTGAATATGGAAATGTCCTCTACATGAGAAATTCTTCTATAGCAATAATCAAAGGCAAAAGGACTATTGACCTTGAATTTAGTTTTGGAAAAACTCTAATTTTAAATGATATTTATTATGTACTAGAAGTTAAGAAAAATATAGTGTCTGGAAGCCTGTTGAACAAGTTTGGTTTTAAATTTGTATTTGAGATAGATAAATTTATTTTGTTTAAGGAAAGAATTTTTGTTGAGAAAGGGTATATGTATAAAGGAATTTTCAAACTCAATATTATTAATAAAAATAAGAATATTGTTTCTACTTACATGATTGAATCTTTATATTTATAACATTATAGATTAGGTCATTTAAATTATAAAAAATTACATGATATGAGTAAGTTTCTATTAATTCTTGATTTTAATCAAAATATTAATAAATGTAATACGTGCATGTTAACTAAGATAATCAAAAAAATTTTCCTAAGGTTAAAAGAAATACAAAGTTACTTGAGTTAATTCACAATGATATTTATGATATGTATAGCACTCTTACATTATCTAAAAAAAAATATTTTGTTACATTTATAGAAGATTATACTAAATATTGTTATGTTATCTGTTATATTCTAAAAATAAAGTACTTGATAAGTTTAAAATATATAAATCTAAAATTAAATTTATGTGTGAATCTTTTATCAAGTGTTTGAAATCGGATAAAGATGAAGAATATTATAGTCCAAGTTACTTTGAATCCACCGAAATAATCTACCAAGTTACTACTTCTTATACATCATAATAGAATAGTGTAGCTGAAAGGAAAAACAGGGTTTTAACGAAAATAATAAATGCAAAATTATCATATTCTGGTCTTAGATAAGGATTTTGAGTGAAGCTTTATTAACAGCTTGTTATATACTAAATAGAACTCCTAACAAAGAAACAAAAATAACCTCATATGAGCAATGGAAGAAAAAAAATAAATCTTAATTATTTAAAGGTTTGAAGATGTAAAGCTCTAGTTAAAATTTTAGAACCCAAAAGGAAAAAGTTAGGTGAAAGAGGAATAGAATGCATATTTATAAGATATGCACAAAATAGTATAAGTTCATGGTTATTAAACCAAATAATTCAATTTTAGTTAACACTGTTATTGAATCAAGAGATGCAATTTTTTATGAAAATACATTTAAATCTATTTAGAGACAACTACAAGCAATTCATCCTACAAGTGGAAAAAAATTTCAAATCCATTAAAACAAACTGAAATTAGTAATGAATCTTTTCAAGAAATAAGGACAAAGTAAAAAGGTTAGAAAGGTAAAAGATTTTAGACCAAATTTCTTTATGTTTTTTGTGGAATGGACTGATGAAAGCATAAACAATAAAATTCTTATTGTTTTAATGCAAAGTCTGATCCTGTTACATATGAAAAGCAATAAAGTCTTAAGATTCTAGTTTTTGAAAAAAAAATAGTAAATGATGAAATGGACTCAATAATGAGAAATAACACTTGGATTTTAGTTGACCTTTTCACCATGTTCTAATCCAATAGGCTATAAATGGATTTTCAAAAAGAAAATAAAAGTGGATGGTCCCATAGATAAATTTAAAGCAAGGTATGTAGCCAAGGGCTTTACACAAAAGCAAGGGAAGACTACTTTGATATTTAAGCTCCAATAGCTAGAATTGCTACAATTAGGCTTTTAATTTCACTTGCCTTAATTTATAATTTTATATATATATATATATCAAATAGATGTAAAGACAATATTTTTAAATGGTAAATTAAAAAAAGAAGTATATATAGAATAATCAGAAGGATTTATTATTCCAAGTCAAAAGTATAAGGTTTGTAA